AAACTTGACTCTTCCAGAGGGGAGACAAGACAAGTTGCTCAATCTCATCCAGCCTGGTGTCCTTTTCTAGGAAATGGCGATAATGTCTGTTTTTGTAGAGCAAGAGGCTAAAAGTACACAGAAAATACTCATCAGTCATTTTCATCATTGTAATAACGGAATCCTGGACATCCCTGGACTAAATTCTTGATATCTATGTATATAAAAGCCTAAGTGACCATTACGACCAGTCAACCAGTCACTATGACACACACTGACCACCAGGGCAGATGCTCAATGCATGAGCTGCCCCTGGTGGTCAGTGCACTCCCACAGCCAACCTCCCAGGGCTGGCCAATTTCCCGCAATCCCTTCCCCAGGCTGGTAAACCTCCCATGGTCCCTCCCTGTGCCCTCACTCCTCCACCAACCAGCCAACCTTCCACGGCACCGATCAGGACTGGGTGAGACAGCCCCAATCAGCCCCAATCGCCAGCCAGGCTGAGGGACCCCACCATGCACAAATTTGTGCACCGGGCCTCTAGTTATTACATATTTACCTCTGCCTTCATAAGTGAGATGATCCTGGCCAGTTTCCCATCTTTTTGCCCCGGACTTGCTTATGTAGCATAAGAATCACATGTTCCTTAAAAGTTTAAAATAACTCACTTATAAAACTAGTATATTGACACCAAGTTTTAATAGATAATTCTAATAATGCTTTTCATTTCTAAATAATAATAGCTGTCATTTATTGGATGATTATTACTATGGACAAAAGCTATAATGACTGCTGCACACATCTCATCTTATTTCATCCTCAGAATTGGTGTCATTTATATTCACCTCAGAATCAGTTACTATTGTTCCAATCTTACAGATCAGAAAGTTGAGGCTCTGAGAGGGTAAACAGCTAGACCAAGCTCTTGCAGAGAATGAGCTGGGATGAGAACCCAGGCTGTCTGACTCCAAGTTACCTGCCTTTAGCAGCAAGATACCATGCTGCCTCCCAAACCCGTTTCTTGTCTTTTTGTTTCAGTTTTGATCTCTTTAAGTTTTCTGTGCCTATGGCATCAGTTTTGCTAGTTTATTAGTTTTTTAAGAAATCATTAATTTTACTGAGATTTTTTAAAATCCCTTAGTAGTCTCACAATTTTTATCTCTGTTTCCGTAGTTATATTCATTCATTATTAATTCAGTTTATGTTTTCTCCCTTTCTTGATTATTCAAAACTGTATGTTAAATTGGGAGAAAATGTCTAGGAATGTGGAGGAGGCTATATAACATTCTAACATGGAAACAAAGGTTTTTATTTCTTTGAAAATATTCTCTTTCCATCTACCTTTGTTTCCCTTTTCCTGTCCTCTACCCTAGCCTTTAAAAAACAGAACGCTTAGGGATAGAAAGACTCTTAGGGGTACTTGGTGGAGCCCATAACTCAGCAGGGCCTGCACTGGCTTTCTACCTGTCCCAGGCCACGCAGTTAGCAAGTGACAGCCAGGAGAAGCCAGGCTCTCTTCTTCCTGTCTCGTTCTCTTTCCGCTCTACCACACCACATGTTACAGACTGAATTATTAATCTTCTATCCTCACCCAAGGATGCATGTATTGATTTTTTAAAAAACAAATTTTTTTTTAGAGAGCTAGGAAAGGGGGACAGGGAGGGAGAGAGAGAGAGAGAGAGAGAGAGAGAGGGAGAGAGAGAGAGAGAGAGACACCAATGTGAGAGAGAAACATCGAACAATTGCCTCCCATACATGACCAGGATACCATGCTGCTTCCCAAACATCGTCTTTTTGTTTCGGTTTTGATCTCTTTAAGTTTTCTGTGTCTATGGCATCAGTTTTGCTAATTTATAGACCAAGGATTGAACCCAAAACCTAGGTATGTGCCCTGACCAGGAATTGAACCCATGACCTTTTGGTGCACAGGATGACACTCCAACTAACTAAGCCATCCAGCCAGGGCAAATTATTTATCTATTTATTTATTTATTTATATCCATTTTTTTTTTCTTTTTTAAAAATTTGTTTCTCTTGTTTGGGGTGAATTGTTAATTCTTAAGACAATAAATTAATGAAGATTGCAAAATAATCTTACTAAAAGCTTTAAGAATGTTAAAGCCACTTAATTTTAAAAGATCGCTGTCAATCGTCTTCCATGGTGCTCCTGCTTTAAACCACTTTCTGGAATGAGGATCCAAGGAAAGCAGACGTCAGGCAGGAAGAGGCATGTCTTCATCCCTTCTTGGGAGCTCCTTTACCAGCAGAAGGGGAAACAATGACATGGACCAGCCTAGCCGGGCCTCAGGCTTTCTACCAGGTCTGCAGGGAACAGAGGAAAGCTCTCTGCCCAAGGACAGGCTTGAGGCGCCTGCGGGGTTACTGGTTAGGGTGGGTCTGGGCATCAAACTCAGTGACTGTGAAAGGGGGAGGGACAGCTCCTCTACTGATGATGGAAGGAGATGTACCCGCTCTCTCATGGCTCAGACAGCTTTCACAACATAATCACCTCAAATTGCTCATTTCCCAGGTGCTGGGCATGTGTGTGTGCAAGTGAGCAGATGTTTCTGTCCACTGCCTGATCCGCAGTCTGCAATTACGCCCCAGGGAACAAGCTGCTCGCTGTGGTTAGGGGCCATTAGCCACTGAAATAATAATTTTCATACCTCGTCCTGTCCTGGACCTTATCTCCAAAGTACTCAAAATGAATACCTAAAGTTCCTGAAATAGACCAACCCAATTTAAACAGCTCTACACTAGCTGCCATTGTGGTGAGGGTTTTAGGTTGAAAAATACCTAATAATTATTGAGTGTTTTCCACATGCCTGGCATTGTAGAAAGTTCCACCCTGGCCGGTTTGGCTCGGTGGATAGAGTGTGGCCTGCGGACTGAAGGGTCCCAGGTTTGATTCCGGTCAGAGGCATATGACCAGGTTGTGGGCTCAGCAGCCAATCAATGGTTCTCTCTCATCATTGATGTTTCTATCTCTCTCTCCCGCTTCCTTCTTCTCTGAAATCAATACAAATATATATTTTTTTTTTAAAAAAAAAGAAAGTTCTTTACGAACAGCATCACTCAACAAGCCCACCCAGATACTATCCTTCTCCCCATATTACAGGCACAGAAACTGAGCCTCTGAAAAGTTCAGCAATTCACATCTAGAGGGAACAAACCTGGATCCCTATTTCATCCTGTTTGACTCTCATGCTGTATCCTGACACAGAGACTGCGCCATTTGGCTAGCAAGATGCTCATATATATTGAGACGAAGCTGTGAAGTCGAGGCAATCTAGTTTTGTATCATATAAGGAGCTAAATAAAGTCTTGGGTCTAAAATAATGGAACATTTGTTTAATGCAGTGATTCTCAACTGGGGGCAGCAGTGCCTGCCTCAAGGGGGAATTTGGAAACATGTGGGGCCATATTGGGTCATTGTGGTAGCTGCACTGACCTGTCACATTGGTGGGCTCTCGAGATGCTAAATGCCCAGCTGTGTGCAAAGCAGCTCCAGGCAATGAGGCACTGTCTGGCTCCAAACATCAGAGGCCACTAAGAAACACTGACAAAGCCAAAAACAGTTTGGCTCAATGGTAGAGAGTCGGTCTGCAGACTGAAAGGTCCCGGGTTCGATTCCGGTCAAAGGCATGTACCTTGGTTGCAGGCACATCCCAGGTGGGGAGTGTGCAAGAGGCAGCTGGTCGATGTTACTCTCTCATTGACATTTATGGCTCTCTATCTCTCTCCCTTCCTCTCTGTAAAAAATCAATAAAATATATTAGAAGAAAAAAAAAAAGAAACACTGACAAAGCAGACTAGTAGGACTTTAAAATGATTCTATAAAAGTCAAGGATGGCAAACTCAAATGCCCTCAGGGTTCAGCCAGGGGCTAAAGAGTATGTGTCCCTAAATCAAACAAAATAGCCTAGGCACTAGCTTTGGTCTGTGGGCCTCAACTGAGCTTTTTAATGGCATTTTTTCTCATCTCAAAACATATTTATAATGCATTAAGTGAAGAGAAAAAGCTGCTAATTAGTATGATCCCATGTTTTTAAGATATATATATATATATATATATATATATATATATATATATATATGTAATGAAAATATCTATTCACTAGAGGCCCAGTGCACAAAATTCATGCATTGGGGTGGGTCCCCTTAGCCCAGCCTGTAACCTCTCACAATCCGGGACCCCTGGCTCCTAACTGCTCACCTGCCTGCCTGATCTCCCCTAACTTCCCCCCCTGCCAGACTGGTCACCCCTCACAGCCCCCCCTGCCAGCCTAGTTTCTGCCAACTGTCCCCTCTGCCAGCCTGGTTGCCCCTTACTATCCCCCTCTGCTGGCCTGTTTGCCTCATGCAGCCAGCTGTTCGGTCGTTGATTCGTCCCTCACTAACCCCCCTGCTGGCCTAGTCACTCCATGCAGCCTGCTGTTTAGTCATTACTGTGAGGGTGCCCTGACCAATTTGCATATTACCCTTTTATTAGTATAGATTGTTTAATTTTTAATAAATAAAAGATAAGAGGAAACTTAAAAAATTTAAACTTTGAGTGTGGTATCAGAACCCAACCCTGGTATCTTCCTGGCCACCCACTTTGATGGGAGAAGGAGAATTTCTGTGATTAAGGACAAATGAGACCTTCAACAGGAAGTAAATCAATACCAAAGCATTAGAGCCTGGCCTGGCTGGCTCAGTGTTTGGGCATCAACCTGTATCCCAGGAGGTTATGGTTTGTTTCCCAGTCAGAGCATATGCCTGGGTTTCGGGATCAATGCCCAGTGTGGAGCATGCAAGAGGCAGCCAATCAATGATTCTCTCTCATCATCAATGTTTCTATCCCTCTCTCCTTCTCTCTTCCTCTCTCTGAAATCAATAAAAAGATATATATTTAAAATACTAAAGAGCGCCTTAAAAGTGGAACGCTGTTGATTTTGCAGACATTCTGGCCTACCTCTCCTGCTCAAGTCCAGTCTTCCTTTTGCAGCTGCCCCAGAACTCAGTCCGGTACTGAAATTTGCTTGAGAAATAAGTATCTGCACTAAGACATATCTGTGCCCTTTTTCAATCAAGTCACCAAATCCTTCACGATCATTGTTTTTCCTGAAAAACCCCCTCTTCCTTTATCTCGAGCATCCCTGTGTTTTCTTTGCAGCATCTGAGTCCTGCGGTTTTCATTCCGTGCACGGTCTCTCGGAGCTCCAGGAGAGGAGCACCAATGGCCCCCAGCAGCTGACTTGCCCCGGAGACCTGGGTTCACGTGAGGCCAGGAGTCCTGACCAGAGCTGCCTTCCCTCCTGCAGGTCTCCTGACGGGCCTGCTGTGGTGCCACTACTTAGACACGAGGTATCCAAGGTGGCTTCTCTCAAGTCTCCTCCTGCTGCACTGGGAAGTGCCTGAGCCCCACTCCCAACCCCAGGCCGCCCCGCAGAAAGCTGGCCATGCTGACAGAGTGAGTGAGGTCCCACCAGGCTAACTGCTATAGCTGGCTTCCCAGGCCTTGCTGTCCAGAGAGCAGACACACAGCCACACCAGGGGGCTGCCTCTGGCTCCGGGCGGAGATGGGTTTGCAGCTGCATTGGCATCTCTGTCACTTCTTACGCTGAGCCCTCTCCTTTCCCAACAGTGACATGAAGCTCTGGCATGGCTTAGTGATCGCAATGGTGTCCCTGGTCTTGCAGGCCTGCCTCCTCGCAGCCATCTACTACCTGCTCAGCAGACACATGGGTAACTGGCTCAGCGTCCCCTCCCCTCCTAGTTGACCCCCGGGGACCGTTCCCCAGCCAGCAGCAAGGCCAACTCCCTTGGGTGTCCCTGAGCATCACTTGAAAACCTTGAGGATTCACTGGTCAAATGGCCCCTCATCCTGACTGGGTAGTCCCCACTCAGACCCAACCTGTTTCTGGTTGAGAATCACGGCCCAAAGTCCTTCCACTACCTGAACCTTCTGCCTAGAGACAGGCTTCTGTAATGCTTGTGAGGGTGGCCTCATGAGCCTGGGCCTAACTTGTTTTCTTCATCACCACAAAGGACTGAACGTGAAGAAATGGCTTTGAATTGCTACAGAAGGCAGTGTGGTTAGGTTAGACTGAGAGATCACCTTCAATCCTTGAACTGCTTCACAATAGAGAGTAGAGAAGCTGTGTCCTGGGAAGACATTACAATTGGGAAAAATAAAACTTTCTTTGGCTAAGGCAGGAGATTGGGCAGGATAAAGTCATGAAGGTTTTTCCAGTAAAGGAAGATGAGAATTCTCTTCATCCATTCATCCATCCATCCCTCTGTTCATTCATTCATTCATTCATTCATTCATTCATTTTAATTCATTCATTTATTCATTCAATACAACAGGAAATAAACAAACAAAAAAATCCCTGCCTTTAGGTAACTTACATTCCTTAGCGGGACAGACAAAAAAATAACAAATAAGTAAAATACATGGGTTGAATTATGGAAAATGCTAGGGGGGAAAAAAAGCAAGATGAGGGATATAAATTGAGTGGTGGCCAGCATCCCTGAGATGCCGATATCCTATCCTATATAATAAAAGATTAATATGCAAATTGACGGAACTGCAGAATGATGTGTCGCTATGATGTGCGCTGACTACCAGGGGGCAGACACTCAATGCAGGAGCTGCCCCCTGGTGGTCAGTGCACTCCCACAGGGGGAGCTCCATTCAGCCAGAAGCCAGGCTCATGGCTGGGGAGCACTGCAACGGTGGTGGGAGACTCTCCTACCTCCGCAGCAGTGCTAGGAGCAGGCCTAAGCCAGCAGTCAGATATCCCGCAAGGGCTCCTGGACTGCAAGAGGCACAGACTAGGCTGACGGACCCCTACCCCCAGTGCATGAAATTCATGCACTGGGCCTCTAGTTTAATTATAAACTTGAGGGAAGTGAGGAAGTGACCTGCACCTGTAAAGGCCCTGAGACAGGAGAGTGTTTGACACATCACAGCGGGAGCAGAGGCTGGGTGGCTGCAGTTGAGGAGACAGCGTGAGAGAAGGAGGTGAGGTCAGAAAGGAAGAAAGCATGAGGCCACAGAGAGCCTTCAAGGTTGGGACTTCGGCTTTTTCTCCAAGTGAGATGATGGCTGTTGCAGTGGAGGGGGCTGAGATTTGAAAAGTTCTTCTGCTCGTTTGCCCTAAGGAGAGTGCTGCTCAGAAATAGGAGTGCCTGCCCCAGGAAGCTTTCACTTTGTTCCCTCTAGCCAAAGAGAATGAACAGTTACTCAGAAGATCCAGGCTCTGGGCCCCCAAGCCCAGCCCTGCCCGCCACCGCTCCCCTGCTGCACAGGAGACGAAGGAGATGAAGGAGACGAAGGAGCCCGAGGCAGAGAGGAGCACCCCTGCGTGGGAGCCCCGTTACAGGAGTGAGTGACGGAGCTGGGGAAACATGGTCATAAAGCGTACTGTGCTCTGTCTAGACAGCCGGAGAGCCTCCCCTGCCACCCAAACCCAGCCCGGATTCCTCCCACCCACCCCAGTAGAAGCCTCGCTACCCTATCTTTTCCAGAAAGTCATTCACCCCATCAGTGGGGCAGGCCTTGTTGGGTGTGTGTGGGTTTAAGCTCTTTGCCAGGTCTGGTCACGTGTGAACCACTGCAGAGGGGGCTTGGGGGCTGTTTCTGCTCCTGTCTTTGCAATACCAAGGCATCTTTTCTTCCACCTGGCCACTTAGTGGTAGAGCCAGGATTCTGACGGACTCTGTCTGCGTCCAGCTGTGGCTGATGCTATGCATCCTGCCGTCTGGCCAGTGTCATTGGCTGGTCCCAGAAGCTGACTCCGCTGTACTCCCAGGGGCTCCGTCTTAGATCCTCATGGGTGTCCGGGTACTTCAGTAAACATGAGTATTGCTGATGGTTCAAATGCATGTCTGCCCCTGGCGAGTGGACCAACAGGCTCACCACCCTCTTGCTTTCAATCTCAGGGCTCAGGAGGCCCACCAATCCCTGTTGACACAGTGGAAATGGTTGCTCTGCAGCATAACAATGACCCCTGGAGGAGCACCCTCCGGAGTTGGCCATACTTTTTCCCATTGGTTCATCTCTTGACTGATTTGGGTTTCCTCCCTCCTTCCACTGTGATCCTCTGAGCTGGAGAGATCTGGTTGTCAGGCTCCCTAGCATGGAGCTAAGGCCTCAGGGCACATGGGGGCCAGAAGATGCCACTCAGAGTTTCAGGCACTGGCCTCAGCTGTCATGACCCCTGACCCTAAAGCTGCACCAGAACCTGGCCAGATTCAGAGGCCCTTTAGATGCCAGGGAGGTCAGAGATCACCGTCCAATCCTCTTGGTTTAGGGGGGACAAAACCAGGGCACAAAAAAGGATGTGACCTGCCTGGAGTTAGGGACAGGTTAGACCAGAACCTGTGCCCATGACTTCTGAGGCCAGAGCTGTTTGCTGGGGGCACACGGTCTCAGCGTGTCCCTGTCTACTGCACCCCAGCACAAGCAAGCCCATTAGCTTCTGGACAAACAGCAGCACCTGGACTCCAGGCCATCTTCCTGGTGCAGGCGTCTTCAAACTACGGCCCGCGGGCCACATGCGGCCTGCAGAGGAGTCTGATCCTGCCCGCCAGGTTTTTTGGGCAGTGAGCGCAGCCAAGGTGTTACAGTAGGAATTAGTAGTTCATATAGTCCGGCCTTCCAGCTCTCTGAGGGACCATGATCTGGCCCCCACTTTAAAAAGTTTGAGGACCCCTGCAGAGGTTCTGTCTACCATCCCTTCTCTTTCTCTACCCACTTCCCCTTTTGGGAGCTCTTTATCTCTCTTCCTCACTCCTCTTTGCAATGCTGGCTCTGCCTCTGTTTTTCTCCCATCCTCCCTTCCACAATCTTTGTCCTTTCCTCTCCAGCCTTCTTTAGAAGACGTTTTCTATTTCTCCCTAGATAACTGCAACACATCCTCAGAGAGCTCCGACACCTCGGACAGCACCGGCCGCTCGCCTCCCCCCTGCCAGGTAATGGACCCTCCCAGCCATCCCAGCCCTCCATAGGCATATGGGGTCTAAGAACTCAGGCCACCCGGATACCGAGATGGGAGCAAGAAGGGAGGGGCTTTGTGAGTCCCCGCAGCATCCTCAGGAGAGGGTGATTAGGCATTCACTCACAGCCCCTCGCCCACTTGGATCCAAGTGGGTCCGAGTGGGCTGTAAAAACGGAAGTGCTGCCCAGCCAGTGTGGCTCAGTGGTGGAGTATGGACCCATGTACCAGGAGGTCGAGGTTAGATGCCTGGTCTGGGCACATGCCTGGGTTATAGGCTGGATCCCTAGTAGGGGGCATACAGAAGGCAGCCAATGAATGCTTCTCTCTCATCATTGATGTTTATATTTCTTTCTCCCTCTCCCTTCTCTCTCTGAAATCAGGCTCACCACCTGTTTTGTTTTGTTTTGTTTTAAATGATAGTGCTCATGGGAAGCCTCCTTCTCCCCATACCCCAGTCACTGGTCCACGGCTCCGAGTGCTGACCTCATTTGAATTGATTCTCTACATTTTTCTCCCTTAAACCCATGCATCCCCTGCAGACAGGAGGAACGAAGGCATTGGCAATCTTCCTCACTGCCCTGACCCTACTCTCAGCTGTGACTGCCTGGGACCCAGGCTCCTTCTCATCCAGCCTGGGGCAAGCCTCTGAGTGAGAGTTTGGTCCTGGGGTCCTACCTCCTCCAGACATGGGAGGAATCTTTCTTTTTCTTTTCATTTTTTATTAAGGTATTATATGTATACATATCTTATCATTTCCCCCTCCACCCCACTCCCATACATGCCTTCACCCCCCAGAGTTTTGTGTCCATTGGTTATGCTTATATGCATGCACACAAGTCTTTTGGTTGACCTCTTATCTCCCCCACCTCTCCCTAACCATCCTGCTGTAATTTGACAGTCTGTTTGATGCTTTACCGTCTCTGTATCTATCTTTTTGTTCAACAGTTTATAATTTTCTTTATTATCCATAAATGAGTGAGATCATGTGGTATTTTCTTTCATTGATTGGCTTATTTCACTTAGCATGATGTTCTCCAATTCCATCCTGGTTTCTGAGAATGGTGAGAATTCCTTCTTTTTATGACAGCATAGTTGTGTAGATGCACCATAGTTTTCTGATCCAATCATCTGCTGACGGGCACCTACGCTGTTTCATGGGAGGAATCTTGACCTAGCCTTCTCCGCTCTTTTTCCTCAAGGCCGCCAAGAAGGTGAATTACACACAGGTGGTCTTTCCAGCCACAGGAGGACTAGATAACGAATCTGCCCTGGACTATGAGGACATCGAGGACATGACAGATTATGTCAATATCAACCCCAAAAGCCACAAGCACAATCTCTGGACTTTTGTGAACCCTGCTGCCTCTGAGCCCGTGGAGTACTCCCAAGTGGCCATGTGACTCCTAGGATCTGCCTTTCTAAGTGGAGTCAAGTTCTCTACACATTCTCGTACTTATTTTGTAGGGAATTGCTTCCTGGTTTTTTGTGTTTGTGTGTGTGTGTGTGTGTGTGTGTGTGTGTTTTCTTAACAAAGCTTGGGAGAAGAAATGGGCTGTATCTCAGCAAGGAAAGCTCAGATGGGAAGTTAGGAAGATCTTCCAGGTTGAGTCTGAGCTCACTGAAGCAGATCAGTACGGAAAGTGGGGAAGTCTCCATAGAAAATTGTTTCTGAAGATTTTAATCAGCTGTCGTAGAGTCCTGTTTGGCAGCCTTACAATTAAATTAACCTTTGAGCTATTTCATTATTGGCAGTGAACAACTTCCTTAAGAGATTTTTTAAATAAAATGGCGGCCACTGTTCCTCTTTTCCTCTTGCCCAGCCAGGCGTGTCCCTGTCTCAGAGCTGTGCTGCTGAGTAATCCCGCTTTGCCCTCAGAACTTTAAATAGTCCACTTGGAAAGCCCACTATCGCTCAACCTTTGGACTCACTGTTTCTTATGAACGAAAGATGACAAATACTGCATCAACCAGCATCACAATCTGTTACTACAAGAAAAACTTTCTAAATTTAACCTAATAAAGTCCAATATCCATTCCTGGTTTGTTGTTTCCTTTTTAACCAATCCTATATAATAATCCTATATAATAAAAGGGTAATATGCAAATTCACCAAACAGCAGAATGCCAGGTTGCAATAATGCACACTGACCAGCAGGGGGCAGATGCTCAATGCAGCAGCTGCCCCCAGCCTGCAGGCCTTGATCGCCGGATTGGGGCCTGCTGGCCAAGCTCTTAGTCCCTTCTTCCAGTGGATAGGGTCTGGTCACCTGATGGGGTATGGGGAACCAGGGGTGGGCAGTGGCAGATTCGGGTGGTGCCAGGCCAAGGCTCTTGCCTGCCATTCGCCCCACACTCAGAGGGTGACCAGTGGCAGAGGGCAGGGCTGGCTATCAGGTGGAATGGCCGACCTCTGGGTCTCACTGCCTGGCCAGCAGGCTCCAACCGCCTGATGGCAAATGGGGAACTGAGGGTGGGAGGCGATGGGTGGCTGGGCCGGCTGCTGGCAGCCGCGGAAGATGGCGCTGATCACAGGCCAGGACTAGGGACAGGACCTGAGCGTAATTTCATGTTAGGAACAAAAGGACACTTCCTTAACTGGATTAAGAATAGCTTATCTGCTGAAACCGGTTTGGCTCAGTGGATAGAGCATCAGCCTGCAGACTGAAAGGTCCCAGGTTTGATTCCAGTCAAGGGCATGTACCTGGCTTGCCGGCACATCCCCGGTGGAGAGTGTGCAGGAGGCAGCTGATTGATGTTTCTCTCTCTTCGATGTTTCTAGCTTTCTATCCCTCTCTCTTCCTCTCTGTAAAAAAGTCAATAAAAAATATTTTAAAAAAAAGAATAGCGTATCTGAAATTGGTAGATGCGTGATATTTAACTGTAAGGTCCTAGACATAGTCATATTAGATCATGAACAAAGTAAAAGTGCCCACAAACCTATTTCCTTCATTATCTAAAAATCATTCTAGAAGTTCTAGGCAGTTCAATTAAACACTTGACAAAAATAAGGGCTTTACCTATTGGAAAGTAGGGTGAAATTTGTCATTGTTTGCAGATACCCTAGTCCTAGGAAACCTCAGAGAATTAACTTTAAAAAAAAAACTTAAAATTGATTGCATGCAGTAAGCAGTGACTAGAGGAATATACAATATACTTTCTCCAACAGTTAATTAAGACAGATTTTTTTTTTTTAACATGTTCACCATAGCTAAACATCTGCCAAAGTGGAAACCCTAGGAATAGTACTCTTAGCCAAATTTAAACTCCAGATGAGTGGCATTCAGATCTTAGAGATGATTTATGAACTTGCTCCCTCTGCTGGCTGAAAATGACTTTCTAGCCCTGGTTCTGGAGCAGTAGGTGGCTTTCCTAGACCCTTTTCCCCCAAGAAACTGAAGAAATGGTTCTGCCTTGGTTTCTATGGCTGATCTATATGTCCCTTCACCTTAGCCTGTTGCTCTTTCCGGCTAGATTTCAATGTTTCTGCCCCCTCCCCCAACCCCGCTGAATTCATATGTAGAAATCCTAACCTCCACGGTGATGGCATTAGGAGGAGGGGCCTTTGGGAGGTGATTAGGTCATGAGGGTGATGCCCTTCTGAATGAAATTAGTGCTCTTATAAAAGAGATCCCACAGAACTCCCTAATCCCTTCTGTATATGCATAATGTTTTCAGAGAGAAAGGGAGAGGGAGAGAGAGATAGAAACATCAATGATGGGAGAGAACCACTGATTGGCTGCCTCCTGCACACCCCCTACTGGGAATCAAGCCCACAACCCTTGCATGTGCCCTTGATCAGAATTGAACCTGAGGTCCTTTAGTCCACAGGCTGACTCTATCCATTGAGCCAAACTGGCTTGGCAGCCCTTCTGTCTTATAAGATACCATGAGCAGTCCACAGCCTAGAGAGGGCCCTCACCAACCATGCTGACACCCTAATGTTGGATTTCCAGCCTCGAAAACTGTGAGAAACAAATTCCTGTTGTTTACAAGCCACCCAGCCTGTGGCATTTTGTTAGGCAGCCGGATGGATGGAGATAGCTCCCTAGAAAGCTTTTCTTAATGGAGAAAAGGAGATTCTGTTGATTAGAGGGGCAGAATGAGGAATAAACACTGACAACAACACTTTCTGTGCATCCAGAAGCGAAACTGCACCTCTATTGATAGCTTTCGAAAAGAAAACACATACACAAAACAAACAAAACAACAGAGAACTGAAGAGGTTCAGGCATGTACAATGCAACCAAAAGAGAGTGCACGGGGACACGGCCTAGACCATTCCCACGCCAGGAGAGGGGATGCGGCAGCCGCACACTCACACAGTTGCGCAGATCGAGTGCCTGCTTTCTGCAGAACATGGACAGGCCGTGGGGGTGGGGAGGAGCATGTGTAAAATGAAGGCTGAGCAGCTGTGCGGGTGGGGTCCCAGCATGCATGACCTAGTTATGACAACAGGCAGGAACATGTGCAAAATAACATGTGGCAGAGGGGAATTAACAGAGCAGTGCAACCAGAGCCTATCAATGTCAGGCAAAGTCGGTGCAGGAGTGTTAGGATTAGGTGGACCTAATCAGAGAAAACAGCCCTCAGAGAGGTGCTTCTGAACTCAGCTTAGAAAGAAGGGTGGGCCCTCGCTGGTTTGGCTCAGTGGATAGAGCGTCAGCCTGCAGACTGAAGGGTCCAGGTTTGATTCTGGTCGAGGGCACAGGCCTGGGTTGCACAGGCCAGTGGAGGATGTGCAGGAGGCAGCCGATCAATTATTCTTTATCATCATGGATGTTTCTATCTCTCTTTCCCTCTCTAAAATCAATAAAAACATATTAAAAAAAAAAAAAGGTAGAAATCTACTGATGGGAGAAGAGGCAGAAGAAAAGGGGACAGGCCTGACCGGATGCAGGCTCTCTGAACTGCATGGGGTAATGTCCGTGCCTGGGCTCAGAGATAGTGGGGAGGTTTGGATCAGGGAGTTGTTGTCAAAGAGAACAGAGGCCTGAATGTCACCGACAATATGATTAAAGTCTGTATTGAACTCTGCTAAGATTGGCTTCAAAAGTATGACATGTTAGAGCCAATACATATATCATGGAGTTAATATTAGCACCCACCCTGATTGCTTATAAAGGGCAGGCATTCTTGGGGAGTGTTGTTGAAAAAGCAAGTTGAAAGTGGCTCCAAGTGACTGACAGAGGCTTGGCTGACTGTCGATGGTGCAGATGACTCCTCAGATGCCCCGGTAAGTAGAGAGAAGGGCTCGTTTCATGTGCTAAGGAGTTTGGGCCAAGAAGCTGGAGAAAGCTAACAACTTGAACTGCTCCTCAAAGTCATTGCTAGTCATGTTGCCAGAAATAAAGTGGCCTTTTGCTTAGGATTCTCCTGGGAGCTTAAAGATTGGCTGCCTAAATGTGAATGGTCACCTTCTCCCATGTGGTATGTCATCGGCACCTCCAGGGAACAGTCATGCTGCCCCACTCACTCAGGGTTCCTCTGTGGGCGAGAACTGGATGAGAATCTCTCCAAATCTATCTTATAAGAAGATACAGAGAAACTGACTTGCTACTGGCAACCTGGTGATGGTTGGTTACATGATAATAATGAACTGGGAATAAACAGTGTACCAGAATAAAGTCCAGCTGTCTTCAATACATTCTTATTCTAAAGGAGAAAGGACCCAAATGCCCACCTTAGAACTTCAGCAGAATTCCATGAGGGACCCTATCTTATTGGCCAGCAAGACCCAATAGGATGAGGAGGTATTTTATGCCCAACATCAGTGGGTTTTTTGCTCTTGGAATTAGAATAGGTTTGGGGGGGGGGGGGGGGAGGAGACAGGCTCTCAAGAGGCCTTCTACACCAAGCCCCCAGCCTCTAAACCAAACACATTATAGTAACTCCATCTTATCTGGGTTGATTGTTTTGTTTTGTTTTGTTTTGGGCTCCCTTAAATACTCCCTCTTTCGGACAGGAATTTCTACACTCAGTCTTTCACCTCTTGCTCTTTGCCCTTCCTTGCCAAATACATCCTCCCTGAGCTTCGCGAGAAAGAAGCATGTGTCCAGGTACCTCAGGAGAATTGGGTCAAATGAGAGCCCAAGACTCTAGAACTTTAGGGAAAGTTCCTATGGCTTTAGAGCTGGGAGGCTGGTGACTTTCCCAGCCTACCCCAAGGTCATTACTGTTTCAAACCCACTTTTAGCTCCACACTGCCACTGTGTGGTGCCAAGGAAAATTGCACTCTTGTTTCTTCTCACTAGTAAACTGGATGATGGGGCTCCAGGAACATGGCTCCCCACCCCTCAACCTTCCCCTTGCCCATGCCCTGCTCAAGGAGATAAAAATTTTACTTTAATTTGCCTATACTTCTATCATTGTTGCTAGAAAACAAAGATGCCTAGACATTTCCTGGTTGCTAAGGGATTTTATTGGTGAATTTCAACTACATTTATGGGTTGCTGACCCAGGAGTGAGCTGCTGTAGCCTAGGCTGAGTTTATAGTCTCTTAAAAGACCTATTTATATACAGAGTGCATCTGGAGAATTATTGGCCTGTACCAAACAACATAAAAAGTCACCCTGAGAAACCCTGACAGTCAACCTATTACCCCACTCCTGCCATCTTCTGCGCTGCTCCCTAACGACTTCTAAGGGACTGTTGTACTGTATTTCACAAAGTTCGCCTTCTGGAGTTAGCTACTGAAACTGAGATTCACCCAGCCCTGTTCAGCGGTTCCGTTGGTTGGCACATCATCCATACACCCAAATGCTGTGGGCTTCATTCCCAAGGCAGGGCACATCTTTAGGTTGTGGGTTTGATCCCGAGTTGAGATGTGTATAGGAGGCAACTGATCAATGTCTCACATCAGTTTCTCTCTCTCTATCCGAAAATCAATTTTAAAAAAATGAGATTGACTCAGACAGCACAGAACCTCCTTTGCTTCCAACAGAGGCCCACCTCCTATCCATCTACAGTCCTATCTGACCCCCCCCCCCCCAACTGAGAGGGCAAGCATTTCACCTATGATGGTCATCAG